CCATGAAAATAAATTACTCCTGGCAGCAACCCTTCTTCATTAGCTATGTTTTTTGCAGACTTGTTTGTTTTAATCACAGGTTTGTATATCCTCACACTCACTCCAAATATTTCTGTGTCATTGATTTCTAAAACATTGTAGTAACTGTTGTTCTTGAATATTCCGCTTGTGAATGCGAACAAGGAAGCCATGTTTGAGTAATAACTATCGCCCAGTCCAACAAGAGAGCCTAGGTAAGCCTGAGGGGGGAATAAAGGAATTGTTTAATGAATCATGCAATCCTGATACAATCATGCTTGCTTATCAATATGAAGTATACTACTTATGACAGTTTTAAGGGTACCAATTATTCCATGAGCATGTGTTGGATATGAGTTAGCCAAAATGATCTCATATTCAACAAGTGCGAGTTTGAATTGAATTGTTTTTTTTTTTAATATGCCCCCAAAATACAGAAAACTGAAATAAAATAAAAATAAAAATTCTCTCCTATTTACATAAGCTTACTATATTTGTAGAGCATGGTATAATAGATCATATACAGTGGAACCTCATTAATCTGACTGCCAACAGGCCACAAAAATCTGGCCATATTAACCAGGTGGTTGTCTTAAATGGGTTCTTTAAATAAAAAAAAATGACTGACTGAGCTTTCGTTCAAGCCAGAATAAAATGACCGTAATAACGAGGAGGCTGTATTAACAGGGTGGCCATAAGGTGGGGTTTCACTTGACCATGATGGTGTAGCCATTGAAAACTCTTTAATTGCATTACCCAATGATCCAGTTTTTAATAATTTTGTTTAAATCCAAATTACGTAACATAAAAGCTCTATTACACCTGCCTCCTTTTTAATCAACGGTCTTACTACATAGCCTCCATTTGACAAGAAAATATGCTCAGATATTTGTCTTTGGACATTATCTGTTTCGAGAGGCAAACAGTTTTCCTCGAGCCACGCTCTTGGAAAACTGTGAGCTTCATATAGCCAAGCATATTTTAAAGTCAGATGGGGGTAATTGTGGTTAGTATCCTTCAAATATTTTTTAAAAGTGGAGAATATCACTTGGATATTCCCCAGTTTTAGCAGAGGCATATTCAGTCATGTGATGCCTTTAGACCAATGTGCAGTTCCAGAAAATACCCATAGCTTCCCCATGGAAGGGATTTTTTCTAAGACTTCCCTACCCTTCTGGAAATTCCAGTTAAACTTCATACATTTCTTTAAATGTTTTGGTCTTCAAGAATCCCCCACTCCCCAGGAAATTCCAATCCCTTCT